AGCTGTTGTCTCGGAAAGATTTTCCGTTAAAAGAGCTTCATCCGAGTATGGCATTCCTCGGCAAACGCTAAAGCCGAATCTTAAACGTAGTGAGAAAGTGAGTCAGTTGGGTCGGTACTGCACCGTTTTCACGGAACAACAGAAGAAAGAGCTTGTACTGCATGTGTTAAACATGGACAAATCGTTCTACGGCCTTACGACCAAAGAAATTCGTCAATTGGCTTTTGATCTTGCGGAAAAAAAACCACATTCCTCATCCGTTCAACAAGTCCATAGGACTTGCGGGACAAGATTGGTTGGCTGGATTCCGAAAGCGACATCCTGAGATAACTTTGCGAACTCCGGAAGCTACATCGGTTGCAAGAGCTCAGGGTTTCAATAAAGTGGCTGTTGAGCGGTTTTACTTGATGCTAGAGGAAACCATCACAATAGGAAAATTTTCGCCAACCCGGATCTATAATGTGGATGAAACGTCGGTTCTTACGGTAAGTTGATGTTTCCTTTTTTTAATTTTAAATCTACATTGTTGCCTTCTATTTTATTTTAGATTCAAACGAAAAAAAAGTAAGATTCTGGCACTTTGAGGCAAGCGGCAAATTGGCTGCGTTACATCGGCATAAAGAGGCGAATTAACAACAGCAGCTAGTTGTACCTGTGCAACGGGACATTACGTGCCACCCATGCTGATCTTTCCGAGGGTAAGAATGACGGAGCAGCTCAAAATAGGAGCTCCACCTGAAACCCTATTTAGTTGTAATTCAAGTGGTTGGATGACTGGTAAAGATTTCTGTAAATGGCTCGAACATTTCATTCAACATACCAGACCAATACCAGATAGCCCTATCCTCTTATTGCTGGATGGCCATAGCTCGCACACGAAAAATTTGGCCTTTGTAGAAATGGCCAGATCGGCCAACGTTACTGTTATATCGTTCCCACTACACTGCACTCATAAAATGCAGCCTCTCGATGTTAGCTACATGGCATCTCTGAAGTCACATTTCTCTCAGACTGTGGAGTTATTTTTAAAAGCCAACCCTGGAAAAGTCGTGACGGTAAATGAGATTAGCTCCCTCTTTGGAAAAGCGTTCATGGCATCGGCGACCCCTTCCACCGCTATTAATGGCTTCAGGAAAACAGGAATAGTTCCACTGAAGAAATTTATCTTCGGTGAAGACGATTTTGCTGCATCCAACGTTTCGGATGCTCCTCAAACTGTGGATGATGAGCCTCCCTTTTATGGGTTTGATGACTCTGGGAAGGAGCTAAAGTCATTCAACCGCATAAATACCTCGGTTGATCATCTCCCAAGCAGTGAGCTAGCTTCATGTTCGAAGTGAAAGCCTCCTAAATAAAGCTAAATTAATTAATTATTTCATGTTCGAATGTAGTGGTTGATTCAAATAAGGAACTACCCATTTCTTCCGGATTTAAACCTCAGCCAAACCAAATGCAAGAAACCGGTAAAGCCTTCATAACATTACCATCGGAGTTGAAGCCAGTCCCGAAGATGGTGTCCAGGAATAAATCCCGTTCTATGAGGAAAGAAAAAGCTGCAGTTATCACATCCAACTCCCATCAAAATATGCTGAAAACATCAATGGCCCTGAGAGAAATAAAAGAAATTAAAAAACCGCAAAGTTTTCCAAAAAGAGGAAATTGAGCTTGCTGGTTGAGGATTTGTTATGCGACAAGTGTGGATCCATCTTCGGTCAGTCCATGGAAGGAGAAAATTGGAGTAAATGCACAAAGTGTAACGCATGGTTTCATCTTTGTGAGGGTACAAATTGTCCATTTTGCTAATCCGTATCATGAATATAAGAAACTCGTTTAATCAAATAAAAAATAAATAAATAAATAAAACAAAAATAAACTTACCTTATGTTTTTGTTTGCTACTTGTTTTGTTCTTTTTACTGGTATTCTGTGTTATAAACCAATATTTTCCCTTGAAAAAAAAATTCAAGATTACATCGTAGCCATTGCAGTGTTATAAGACTGAGAAAACCTTTAATCAAAGCAAAATTATAGCATCCTTGAAGCTTCGGATATTCTGTATGGCCCCATGGCCATTTAGGTCCATGTTTATGTCATAACCGAAATTCTTTCTTATACCGCAGTTCCACATGCTTTCGAAAAAACCGTAGAACTCTAGGATCTGCTTCGAGGATTGACCATTTTTAAAGATGTTCTAGACCTTCCGGAGGACGGTCCCATGGCCTTCTAGGTACATGTTTATATCACGACCGCAAAATAATTTATATATGTCAGTTCCAAGTGTATTCGAAAAAACCGTGGAGCTCTAGGATCAGTTCCATACATTGACCACTTTTACGGATTTTTCGGATCTTCCGGAGGACGGTCCGATGGCCATCTGGGTCCATGTTTATGTCACGATCCCAAATTCATTCTAATATCACAGTTCCTAACGTTTTCAAGAAAACCACGGAGCTCTAGGATCAGTTTCGTGAATTTTCCACTTTTACGGATGTTGCGGATATTCCGTTCATGTTTATGTCACAACCCCTAATTCTTTCTATCATCACAGTTCCTAATGTTTAAGAAAAAACGCGTAGCTCTTGGATCAGGATCGTGGATTTACCACTTTTACGGATGTTCCGGATCTTCCGTTGGACGGTCCGATGGCCATCTGGGTCCATGACCCACATTCATTCTTATATCACAGATCCTAATGTTAAAAAAAACGCGGAGCTCTATGATCAGTTTCATGGATTGTCCACTTTTACAGATGTTCCGGATCTTCCGGAGGACGGTCCCATGGCCATCCATGTACATGTTTATGTTGCGACCCCAAATATTTTTTTATATCACAGTTCCTAATGTTTAAAAAAAAAACCGCAGAGCTCTAGGATCAGGTTCATGGATTGATCACTTTTACGGATGTTCCGGATTTTTCGGAGACCGTTCCGTTGTCTCCAGCATCTATATTTAGGAACCATGACTGTATTCTGGCTAATTGTGAGCATTTGTGCCCATTAATCTAAATTACAGATCTTGCTCCACTTGCAAAACCCTACAAACACACCTTTCAAAAAAACGTTTAACAACTCTTTTCGCTTTTTAAAAAAGTAGACGACTCTATTTTCAATCTTTTTACAATCAAAATCATCTACAAACCCTAGGAATTCTAAAGGCACCAAAATTTTTGAAATTCATTCAGAAATGGCTAAGTTATGTCATTGCAAACTTGCCGTTACACGTTTTTCGGAGGCATCGTATTCGGAGTATTAACCTATCAAAATTCTTGAACCAATGAAATTTCGTTTACCTACCAAGAACAACATGTGAAAAGGGCATAGAAGTTTTTGTAAACAAACCTTCTTATGCCCTTTTCTCGCTACTCATATGACACTAACGCAAACTATCTACATCACCGGATAGGGGAAACTTTTCCCTTCCCGGTGATGTTGTTTGGTTTGCGTGGGCGATCCTCGGTTGGCAAGAAAATGGCCTACAAAGGTTTGTTTAAAAAGGGAGAAAGGTTTTTTTACAAAACGCTTGTATGCCCTTTTCACATGTGGCTCTTGATACGGTCTATCACGCTTCACGCTCACTCGATTCTACTCATTCTTTATTTCACACTAACTCTACACGGCGAATGAGAACGACCCAAATTTGAGTTTAGTTCACTCATAATCGCGAATCAGAAAATTGACGAAAATTTTATTCAGTCTCGGAGTAGTACCAATAGACTGAGTGAATCCAATCTTTACTTTTCTCAAATTCGGGAATTTTTCCCTGGAAAATCTTGGAAAAACCTGGGAAAACATGAGGCAAATTTACTCATCGCCGAGTTCCTGCACTTTTGGCGATTATGAGTGAACAAAACTCAAATTTGAGTCGTTCTCATTCGCCTTGTATCTAACAATTGCTCAATATCATAGGCGTAGTTCAAAAGGGCTGAGCTTTTCCTTCAACTGGTCTATTAAAAATTAACAACAAAAAAAGAACTACTCATCAAAAAACTACTCATAGGAAAATATGCTATGAAAAATCAATGGCTAAAAACTTCTCATCTGAAAATGCTCCAGCACGGCGAATGAGAACGGCCCAAATTTGAGTTGAGGCTGATAATTAAGGTAACGATTAAAGATTTGAACTGGACTAAAGTCAAGACAAATATTCTAGGTATAACAAAAACAGGAAATACACTGAAAATAAGAGTTCATACCAGCTAGTCATTTGTATGACCATATACTTTACTGACCAGAATTACCACTCACCCTGTGCTAATTCTTAGAAAGCTCTCATTTAACAACTGTGGAAGTGCTCAAAGAACACAATAAAACCAAAGAAGAAAGTTATTGACAATAGTTTTGAGTACTTTTAAGTGACGTGAAAATAGCTCCCAAAGTAAACAGACTTCAAACGGTTGGTCATTGTGGGTGAAGCTTGATAAAAGCTATTGTAGTAAAACTACATTATAATTTCAATTTGAAGTCTGAAAACTAATACACTGCAGCAGCAAACCCTTATAAGATTGGTTTAATGATGTGTAATCCAATAAGTACCACGTTCCACTTAGGATCGATGGTAAGGTGGGATATTTAAACAACCAGCTCGAGAAGGTTAAACGACGTTAACTTATAAACCGCAAAAGTGGAAAGTATGTAGGTACATATATAAAAATTAACGTTCCGTTTTGCCGCCTTCTCATCGTTAAAAGTTGGCTTCTCCACCCATTTCAACCCTTTCGCATATTGGTATTCTGCCTTCTCCCTTGAAAAATCCATTCGCTCCACAGCGAAAATTAAACATTATGAAATTGTTCTCTTCGCTCGCTACCGCTGCTGCTGGCTTCTTCGACGGAAATGGAAATTTATCCGATTATAAGCATAAGCACACGTATGTAGTGCAGACGCCCACCGCACCCATCATCGTGTCGTCCTAATGAGCATACACCATTAACACTCAGCTGACACACGTCCTACTACTCACATCCGTTTCTGATTTTTTTTTTCCTTTCCTTTATCCCACCAGCTGCTGGATGAACGAAAGTCACGCGATGTGGTTGCTGACGATTCCAGTGTGCTTCTCACTCATTACCTCGCTCGTGTTCCTCGTCAACGTGGTCCGAGTTCTGCTGACCAAGCTGAACTCCACCTCGCCCAATCCGGCCCCACTCGGTCTGAAGAAAGCCACTCGAGCGACACTGATTTTGGTAATCCATGTGCTATTCCCATAAGTATTGACATAAATGATCATTTTCACACCCTTCCTCCGATCAGATTCCGCTGTTTGGTCTGCAACACATCCTGCTGCCGTTCCGTCCGGACAAGGGATGCGAGCTGGAACGCTACTATCAGGTGGTGTCGGCGGTGCTGATTAGCCTGCAGGGTGCGTGCGTTTCCTGTTTGTTCTGTTTCGCCAACCACGACGTGATTTTTGCCATCAAATGTCAGCTGAGCCGGTGCTTCCCGGAGCTGGTGCACCATCCGTTCCGCGAGAGCTACAACGGGGGCCAACCGGCGACGCAGAGCCGCGATATGGTCGTATGACTGTTGGGCTTCCGGCGCGGAACGAAGACGACCGGAAGTCACGAGGTTATCGGCGATTGCATCGAGGGAGGGGTTTAGACGGTGACGCGGGGATTCAATGTACAAAACTGAACAAATAAACCAAATATTTTGTGGGTGTTATCTGTGGAACGGGAGACCTATTCGAGAGGAAGAGATCCTATATTTTCGATGTGTTGATCGGATAGATGTGGTTTTATGCTAATGGTGAATTTTATCGAAATCGTTGAACCTGTAGTAGTGAATGAAAATTGTGCCAAATTTAAATTGAAGAGATAAACCCATCCAATGAATGTGAACTCCGTGGAGAAATTCTGAAAAATCAATATAATTAAAAAATAAGAATATAAAAAGTGCATATTACTATCGATAGTTATGAAGAAGATCACCATGTAACCCTAAGAGAACCTATGCTTTAGAATTGGCCGAATATGTTACTCTGCTTTCACACACGTGTAATTTCACACGACATTTCATGTAAATTTAAGCACAATATCGCATAAATCAGCAATCTTGTATACAAACTTGTAAGCAATTAAGCTCAATATTAAACGGGAGGAGATTTTACGCGACAGTTAAAATTCGGAGCTTTTTGCTGCGTGCTTGTCGGATAGAAAACTTGTTAGAACCAAATCTACTTCCATTAGACTCTTGCTGCCATTTGTGACAACTGTTCAACTTGCTGTCCCCGTTCCACTTCCGTTCATATTGCGTTTTATTCCAATTGATCAGGAATGGCTTCTAGTTTTAGATTTAAAGGTTGTGCGTAATTTTTGTTTTATTTAAAATATAGTTACAATTTTTTAGGGGTCAAATTAAATGATTTTTAGGATTTGTCCCTGCGCATTTTGACGTAGAACTACGTCTTTCTTTACTATACTGGGGGTCACATTACGAAATCAAAAATGTGCTTTGTAACGAAAATGAGTAAGTTTTCAATCGCATATTTCTCAAAATCATTATTGAGAAATATGTCATGCAATATGTAATTCGACCAAGAATTCTAGATAGAGTTTGAATAAGGGTATAACAGATTTTGAAAACAATGATTACTTTCGATGACTTTTAGATAGCCAAGTCTCACCAACGCAAACCAACTCGGGGAAGACTTCCTCTACCCGACGGTTATGTCGGTTTACGTAGGCGTGCCTTGAATTTCTAGACATCATCGAGATAAGTCATTGATTTGTAATCTTGTATAAAAACTATCTAATGTTTAACGAAAATCATTCATAAGTCACGCTCAGGCATGGAAAATCATTTACATTCATTTCATGCAATCATTTACATTCATTTGCCTCTAACTTTTTTCGTCAACAGTATTCCGCAAAATGATGTACAGAGCTTTTGTAGGTTATGTTATTAGCTACAACTTTTGCCCATTACTCAAATCTGTATCTCTTATGCATCACGAATTAGAACGGGCAGAAGTAGTTACTGTTTTTCAGTGAATGTAAAATACATTCACTGAAAAACTGTAGTGGCTTCTGTTCGCTCTGGTTCGTCATACATAAGAGATACGGATTTGAGTTGCTAACAAAAGTTGTAGCGAGTAATAAAACCTACTAAAGTTCCATAGACTATTTTGCGGAATTCTGTTGATCAAAAAAGGTAGGGGCAAATGAATGTAAATGAATGCACGAAATGAATGCAAATGATTTTCCATGCCTGGTCACGCTTATGAAATTCATGTGTGACGTTAATAAGTCGTTTATTTGCCTCAGTGTATGAATTTCATTAGTATAACTTATGAATGATTTTCATCAAACATTAGATAGCTCTCATACGCCTTTAACCATTTCATTTTTCCAAGCGTTTAAAGACGAGTGGACAACACACGGGCCCCGTAATCTCAACGTTCATGGTTCGGTTTCCAGTCCGCTCCATTTTATAATTTTTTTGTCAACATTATTTTTCATAAGGCAAATTAATGAAAATCATACGGATTTCTTGTGGCTTAAATTCATAAGTGGTTCTTATGGAATTCTTACGTTCTTTTGCCTATGATCTAAAAATGCTCTTTCACTTCTGTTTGGAAATGAAAGTGCTATCTCGCAACAGTGTGTGTGATCCCGCACGGGTAGAACATTCTGTGTGGCATATATTAGCGCTAGTGTAAGCAGGTCTTAACTTGACGCTTAACGAGTCAGCAAGCCATGTGTGCAGCCCTCCGTTGTAAGCGCAGCAGTTCAATGCTGGTAAACAGAGGTATCTATGGCAACGCTTCATAAACACACACGGGCAACTCTCCACTCTCTTTCGGACCAGCTCTTCACAAGGTAAGTTGCACATTGGCGATCCTGCCAGATTTAACTAAGCCATATGGAATGTTCCATAAGCTCATTTGGTTTTCTATCATAAAGAGGCCACGCTAATATCAATCGGTTTAGAATAACCGTAGCCTTCACGCACCGCAAAAAAAAATAATGGAAACTGCTAGATCCGGTTGATTCGTTTATAAACGACGCCAAATCTGCCTTATTCGTCTTAAGACGACGCCATTGCGAAAAAAAAAACTACCAAGCCTGCCTTAATCGTTTCAAAACGACGCCATTACAGAAAACACAAAATCTGCTCAAATCGTTTCAAAACGATGCCACCGTGAAAAAAACTCAAATAAATAAACTGCTAAATCTGCCTCAATCGTTTCAAAACGATGCCATAAAATAATAAAAAAGCCTTAATCGTTTCAAAGCGACGCTTTTGCAAAAAAAAAAATCAATTGGCCTCAATTGCTTGAAAATGACGCCACGATCCCTATTACAAAACAAAAAAATAACGCATACTTTACATTTTACCAGCATTATCTAATGCATATCAGTACGGATGCACCAACAGGACCGTTTGACACAGGAAATCGACGTAATGGACAGTAGCACTAAAAAAAAAACGGAAGGCAACCTCCCCCATCAAGGGTGCCTTGAAGGTCCGTTCGCTATCCAACGACAAAATGCTGGTGAACGACCATCTAGCCAACTCAATGTTCTCCACACCGGTGTCCTCGCAGAAGATCCGCCATGAAGCTGGTCAGCTGACGAAGTTGAAAAGCAGCCGCTTTGCACTGCCTTCGTCCATCTAGCAGCTGAAGAATGCCGAAGCTTCTAATTGTATTCAACCTGCCATTGTATGAAGGGCCAAAAACGGTTTGGGTGAATCCGTGCGCAACATCGCCCACTTGCATCCACGGAATAAATGAGAATCTCCTTCCAACAACAGGATCATACAACCAGTCAAAACACAGGCCATCCAACAGGAGGATGTCCCAATGAGTGGGGGAGAAGAGCCCACCTTCTTTTCACGAAATGTAAACGACAGGGAGTTGGCATTTCGACTCTCCCCATCCATTTCGCGTCAATCGGGTGCCCTGCTGGTCCGTCCTGTCCACAACATTTAATGTTTAATATAACAATGGAATGAAAGTTAAGAAAAAATAAAGCAATGATATCACCCGGTATGTTACCAAGAAATCCATGATATCACGTTAAACACGAAGATTTCTAAGAGCTCCATAGATATGCTGCCACTATATCTTCAACAGGTGTTAAAAACAGCACTCTCGCCTTTCGTTCCTCACAGCAGCGTAAACCCCCATCAACCACGAAACACACTCTAGCTGCTCCAACTAGAGGGATCTCAGCAGAGAAAACAAGGCCTGCGTCCACTTTTCATTTTCGTGACACAACGGCTTCAGTTCACTAGTACACAGTCTACCAACATTTTGTTATACGGCAAACATCCCACATTGCACCCCAGAATCCAATCGGGTCAGTTTTTCTCCGAGCAACTATGAGATTAATTGAAAAATCATCCATTTCGATTTTTGAACGAGATTCCTAACATCCTTAACAGTGCTCCCATTGATCTTCATGATGATGATAATGATGTCAGAGCAATGGTGCATTCACGGCTGAAAAGGAAAACCGGGTAAAATTCTTTTTTTTTATGAGGAGAGAGGGACATGTGTGGCATATATTAGCGCTAGTGTAAGCAGGTCTTAACTTGACGCTTAACGAGTCAGCAAGCCATGTGTGCAGCCCTCCGTTGTAAGCGCAGCAGTTCAATGCTGGTAAACAGAGGTATCTATGGCAACGCTTCATAAACATACACGGGCAACTCTCCACTCTATTTCGGACCAGCTCTTCACAAGGTAAGTTGCACACATTCCTACACTCAAAAAATTCTACACGTCATCATCATGTGTCTCGCACTTAATTTTGCGCTTATTGTGAAACACATCCATTTCATTTGTGAATCTTATGCTATGAACCATGCCTGAACACTGTGGATTTGAATTGTGACACACTTGGATTCTATGTGCCTCATAGCTTTGCACATCATAGTTCAATATTCTACTTTATCGACTTCTACTTTGTCGACTATAAAAATGAATCGACAAATATATAAACAAAACTGCCAGAGGCCAGAGCTTTCAGATATATTTTTAATGGGTCTGATTTGGGATTCGATCATGGACTGTTGTGGTGTGCTGCTGTCGGAGTCTTCGTTCGACCCCATTGTGACACGGTTGTTCTCATATATGAGGCGGGTTGATAGGATAAAGTCACAACTCTTGTTTTCGATGTTTACCTTTCTGAGCAAGCAATTCACATCGCATTGAAATGCAAAAAAATTTAAATCCATCTGTTTTGAACAGTAGTGTGATTCAATGTGCAATACACTTGAATAGATAGTGAAAGATTTTCAACATTTCAAAGTTTGAAACACTAGAAATTAACGTGTATAACACATTGCACCAAGGTGAAATACACTTAAAGTAAATGTGATTGGGCATTTAAAAAATCAAGTGTTTAAACACTTCGATGAAACGTGTGAAATTTTTCGAGTGTACGTTGTGTGATTTATAGATGGTGAAAATAAAACAGTTCGTTTATCGGGCCATCCTGCCATGGCAGAGGCATGCGAATTATTGAATTTATGTAGAATCTTGTAACCGGTCAGCCATGCAGTCTTCCCGTTTTCAAGTAAAAGTGGCTTAAGCGCCACTCCCGAAGGAGACCACCTACCAGGGATAGGGTTGCCCGACCGTATGAGACCTTTCAGGGGAAGGCTCTGATTTTCCCAAATTTTGGGGCGGGAAGAAGGTTGGCTGATTGAAATGGTTCGAGTGCAAAAACATGCAACAAATTCAACTGTCGGCCGGCGACGAGTCTGGCTAGCACGGCGGTTCTCATCACAGGTAAACCGTCTCGTTTCCCTCGGACCAATACGTATACAATTAGAGAGTTGCTCATTTGTTCTTCAGACTCGTCTCCTATCTACTCTCATTCT